CAGTATATAAACCATGATGACAACCATGTCACAGAGATCTGCCTGCCTCTGCATCTTGGAATTAAAGGTATATATGGTGCCTACTCTTAAAGTTTCTGGGAAAAGGGATGGTCTTGCATTGCAGGGAAACAGGCTTGACTGATACATGGCCTGCGCTACATGATAGATGTAGGGGAGTTAGCCATTAAGGTCTTAGGCTACTTGAAAAAGTCATTCTTTTTCTGGATAGGAAAATGGGTTCAGTTAATGTGTGACGTATGCAACATGACAGTAGTCTGTCTGCCAACCTCTGAGTGTTAGTGGAGCCTGAGTGCATCATTACCCTGTTAATAGCCTTCTCTGATTAGGGCCTGATTTTTTATAGAGCCAGGGTTCTCTAACAGTGTAGAATAGTAAACTCTTGAAAGACTCAATGACACTTAATAATATGTGTGGATTTGACAGGCTTTGAATGAAAGTGTGTCTCAAGTACCACATAGACAATATATTAACTTGAGTTCCCAGACAAAACTCAGGATTATCAATACATGTACTAGTTTAGGGAACAACAGAGAAAAAGATATGAGCATCAAGTAAGCATCTCTTTGACAACAACTGAAGCTCACATGAAGATAACTGAACTATGCACAGCTCAGGAGGCCACACTCTAAAGGAAAGAAAGAAGATTAAAATTGCAGCTTGATGCCAAAATCATTGACCAGAAATATCCAGTGGTTCAGGATACAGGCTATAAACACTTTGCATCATTAATACAGTGAGGTTAACTGTCTACTGAGGAAGAGAAGCTTCAAAAGAAACAAAACAGGCTTCAGAATTACTACAATGTCTTATTTTCAAAAATAGTTTTCAACAAATAATGTTTACTTATACAAAAACTCTAGGAAACCACAAGAGTAGAGGAAGGAACCATTGAGTGGGGCCAAAAGCAAGAAGCCATCTTTACCCTCATATAGCCCTAGTGGAAAACACTGGCATTGGGATGCCCTGATGTGTCCTGATAGTTAAACCTATTTGCCCATGAGTGGAAGGGAATGGTACTGGGAGACTTAACCCAGAGCAGAGGATTCTGGCAATGAGCTATGGTTCAGGGACCAGGACTTGGGGATTATTCCCCTGAGTCTGGGCTAGCACAGATAAAGCTTCTGGCTTGTCCTGAATGCAATGAGTCCAGTGAGATCAGGGCAAGGCAGAGACTGAAAAATCACTGTTTTATATAGTATGGGATAACTTAGGGCAGGATACCACCTTATATGATCATATTCTGATAAAGAACAAAGATTGATACACCTGTCAATCACCAGAACAGAACAAAAGCCTGAGGAAAAGTTGCTTGTTCTAGCATTTTAGGAAATAACATAAAGTTTGACTGGAATGTAGTTCAGCTCAGTGGTCATTGTGGCCCTTGTTCACACTGATCATTTGAGATTGTCTGTTACTCTACAATACACCTTGCCTATCTTCTATACTTTAAGCGTCTCATCAGAATTCCTTTGATGGAGATCACAAGGACCTGTAAGGCAGTAATGGAGATACATGCAATACTATCAAAAGTGAAGTAAAAGAATATATAAAACCTTAGGACTAGATCAGTAACAAGTAATGATATTAAATCAGCAAGAAGTGTCCAATTAAGTAAAAGCCCAGGACCAGATAGCCTCAAATTTGATTCCACCAATTTTAAAAATTCACTATTGCTGTCAACAGGTGTCTTAGTTTATTTCTTCATTGCTCTGACAAAATACTCTGACCAATTCCAACTTGTGGAGGAAAGGCTTTATTCAGCTTACATCTCCCAGGTTGCAATTCATCAAGGAGCCCAAGGTAGGAACTCGGGGCAGGAACCTGGAAGCAGGAGCTGGAACACAGGCCATGGAGGAATGCTGCTTACTGGCTTGCTCCCCTGGCCCCTGCTCAGCTTGCTCTCCTTTCCAACACAGGCCCAACTGCCCAGGGGTGGCACTACCCACAGTGGGCTGGGACCTCCCATATCACACAATAATCAAGAAAATGCCCCAGGGACATGGCCACAGGCCAGTCCAGTGGAGGCAATTCCAATTGAGGCTCCCTCAACCCAGGTATGTCAAGTTGACACTAAAGCTATCCAGCGTAACAGGGTAAAAAGACAACATACAGGATAGGAGAAAATGTTTGTCACCTATTTATATAATATCCAAAGTGTATAAAGAACTCAGAATACTCAAGAACAACAAAAACAAATAATCCAATCAAAAAAAGGTAAATTATAGAATAGATATTTCTCAAGACAAAAAATGCAAATCTCAAAGAAAATCATTAAGGACACCATTAAATCAAGTATATTCCACAAATAAAGGAAGAATGGAGACTTTCAAATGAATAAAAATGAATACAATGTGTCATTAGCAAATCTGCACTATAAGAAATATTGCAGCTTGAGAGACAGACAGCTCAGCCGTTCTTAGTGCTTGGTGCACTCTCATAGGACCCTAGGTTGTTTTCCAACACCCACACTAAGTGTATCACAATGAGCTTTAACTCCAAATCCAAGGGATCTAATGTAGTCTAAGGCACATCCTTCAAGTTATTGAAGGGTGGAACAAAATCTTGGTCATTAGAATATAAAGAAAATAGTTAACAACATTGCCGTGGTAGACATTAGTGGAATATAAATGATAATGCATACAGATACATTTTTATTTGGTTTATAATGACAGGGCTATTTAAAACTCAGTATAGTATGCTGGCATATTTATATAAATGATGCCATGCCATTTTAAACTATCTGCATTTTACTGGAAATACTTTGATATTAAGTTTAATTACATTGTGTTTAAAATGCATGCAATAATCCCTAGGCAAACAAATAAAATAATAGTGTAAGACAGATAGATGTAAAGCCTTATTTATACTAATGCTACACTTATCATCTTAATCATCTTTTAGTATTTCTAACTGATGCAGGGTATGAGATACAGTATGAGAATTGTGAGACAGGATTATTTAATCCACTTGTTACTACTCCGTTACCAACTGGCTTTCTTATGATAAAATCATGTTTTACATTATATTTAATTTTGCTATGCCTTAGTCATCTCTCTGAAAAGTAGAAATGACATTAGTAATCTTTAAAATCCACCCTAATTCCATAAAATAGAATTTACCAAAGTGTTGTGTTGAATCAGTGCTACTAGTTACCATCACTGTTCCATTTGAATCAGAGAGCGAAGCTGTCTACTACAGGTACTCATACTGGAGAAATGTATCTGTTGAGAATGATGGTCTTATACAATGATTAATCTAGGCTGACTTTGGGGTCATTTGGGGGTTTCATGTTATCTGAGGTGGAAAATGGATTCAATATCTGAGTGCAAATACTGCAAGAGGATGATAAAAAGACAATGTTGCTTTAAAAAAGAAGCACCTTGAACAAGACACAGATGAGGATAAAGGAAAGCATTATCCCTGAAAGAGATCAGGCTCATATTCAGAATGCCTTTGAAACTGGACACATACATTGTAGTCAGAATGTGAGTTCTACTTTATTATGCCTATGTTTTATGAACTGTGTATCTTATACTGTGAATTTACAAGCATGAATCTTTGGTTCTGGGATCTGGAACTGATCGTGTAAATTTTACTGAACTCATAAAATGTAACTTTTAATCTTATCTCCCCTGTTTGAAATCTTTAAGAGATTTATTAGTGATAATAGTATATTAATATATAGTAGATATGCAAAATATTGTTGCTTGAATCATGCCCTTAGCCCGTTTTTGTTTACATTTACCTTTACTGACTTCCTCCCAGAGGATACTCCCAACTAATAACAAGAATCAGTTAGATGCTCTTCCAGACATAGCATCCACTGGGACTGTGGACTCCCCAGAGGTGGAGACTCTTTGGAGAGAAACAGGTATGATTCACAACCTGGGGTTAAAGTTGAGAAAGAGTTTGTGCGAGTATCATTTGGAGATGACTGTCTGCTCAGAAGAGGAGTTTCTGAGATGGACCTCAGGTCTTCTTCCTGCAGAGCAACCTTCTGAGAGTCTGCCTATGGCATGGATACAGAAAGCAGCACCTGGTCTCACTGTGATTATCTCCAGGTATGTGGAAAACCCCTTTCCTCTCCAAGTACCATCTACTATCAACTGCATTTTTGTTCACAGCAAATTAAGGGGTGGGGAATGCAGTAAAGCCTAACACATCTCCTGCTTCTTCCTTCAGTGTTCAGCACACACATAACATGAAAAATAGGCCTCATCTGCTCAACCCAAGGAATTTAGAAAAGATAGAATGGCTTAGGGGAGTGACTGTACAGGTGCAATTGATTAATATTCATCAATATACCAATTAATTTACATCTGTATTGAATATAAACCTTCTATAGTATCTGAGGAGAGTAATCATTGGTGGTGAATTGATGTTAGATTATAACATACCATACTTGACCTCCAGCCTTGGTTCTGTTTGACTCCAGAAAGTTACTTTACATCTCTGGGCCTTTCTTGCCTAATCTCCAAAATATTTATGAAATCTTCCACTTGTGTGTGTGTGTGTGTGTGTGTGTGTGTGTGTGTGTGTGTGGTGTCTAATCCACATATTCTTAGATATAAAGTCAGGGTGAATGAAAATGTGGTGCATATATTTTCCAAACTTGCATGTATTGCAGTATGTGTGATTGTAATACAAAGATATAACTGACATATTTGCTGGTAACTCTAGGGCAATTGATAGAAACTATGCAATGCATGGTTTTGAGTGTGTGACTATGCATAATGTATGCCTTGTATGTGTCTACACGCATATGATCATATGTGAGTTTATGTGTACCTCGGTAGGTGATGATTGATTGCCATTTGCATACATGTGTATAAGGGTAGATCTTTGCATACACGTCTAATGTTGCACACAATTTTCTAAACTTTGCATTCTAAATTAGTAATTCTCTTTTGTGTCCCACAGGAGCCAAGAAATGAGAACCTACCTCATCTGTCTTGTAAAGAAGATCGACATCTACTGGTATGGTGGGAGGAATTAGCAAAAGTACCAGGACTATCATTCAGAATGTTACAAACCAATATTACCTGCTGGAGGGGATTTGTATTTCTGGGCTTTTCCAGCTTTGGAGAACTGCAACTCCTGCTGTTTGTCGTGTTTCTCTCTCTGTATCTCATCACCCTCACCAGCAATGTCTTCATCATCATAGTGATCAGACTGGATAGCCACCTGCACACACCCATGTATCTTTTCCTTTCCTTCCTATCCTTTTCTGAGACCTGCTACACATTAGGCATCATTCCTAGGATGCTCTCAGGCCTGGTTATGGGTGGACAGACTATTTCCTATATGGGCTGTGCTACCCAGATGTTTTTCTCTGCCTCATGGGCTTGTAGCAACTGCTTCCTCTTGTCAGTCATGGGCTTTGACAGATACGTGGCCATCTGTGCCCCACTGCACTATGCCAGCCGCATGAATCCCACACTCTGCGCCCAGCTAGTTGGCACTTCCTTCCTGAGTGGATACCTCTTTGGACTGGGAATGACACTAGTCATTTTCTGTCTCTCATTCTGCAGTTCCCATGAAATACAGCACTTTTTCTGTGACACACCTCCAGTGCTAAGCCTTGCCTGCGGGGATACAAGACTAAGTGAGCTGGGAATCCTCATCCTCAGCCTGCTGGTCCTCTTGGTCTCCTTTTTCTTCATCACCATTTCCTATGCCTACATACTAGTAGCAATCCTGAGAATCCCTTCTTCTGACGGACAGAGGAAAGCTTTCTCTACTTGTGCCTCTCATCTCACAGTCGTCATTATTCACTATGGCTGTGCCTCCTTCATGTACTTGAGGCCCAAAGCAAGCTACTCTCTGGAGAGGGACCAGCTTATTGCTGTCACCTATACAGTGGCAACCCCTCTCCTCAATCCCATTGTTTATAGTCTAAGGAATCGTGCTGTACAGACAGCTCTGAGAAATGCTTTTCAAGGGAGCTTACTAAGTAAAGGATGAAGGCTAGCCCAAAGACAGTCTCATTTGTGTAGTACAAATGAGGTTCTAGTCCAGACCTTAGACATGGTGACACTACCCAAAACCCCTGGAAAAGCCGTGTCCTGCCTCTGCCAATTCCTTCCAGGCTGCTTGGAATGACAAGCAGGGATTTTCTGCTCCAATCTCTCTTTTCAACTCATAGTGAGATCAAAACCAGAATTTTCAAATTCAGGCCTCATAGATGTCAATCCTAGTTACTGAAACCTACAAGTAAGAATTTTCTTTATGCATTAAGATCATCACAAATTTTCCCAATGAGCTAAACAAAATGAAGGAAATTGTAGTGTTTAAGTTCAAGACAGGGATGTCAGGATTCAAAGATATCGTTGAGAATTCCAAAATCATTACACAATCAGAATATTTGACCAATTTTGTTCTTTCAAAGTCTGAAATTCCATGACAAAGAGTTTGGCAGGTGCAGAGCAGGAAGAAGCCCTGCCTCTGTTTTCATACCTCACTGCTCAGCTGAGGTATTATCCTTCCAAATTTGTTGTTGAATTATCCATTCTGCTCTCCTCACCCCTCCATCTACATGTTTCATACATTATGCTGGGCACTCTTAGGGATAAATAAAGTGCAGTGAACTCCCATAGTAACCCAACAGTAATGTGAATGTGAGCTCCTCAAATAAGTAGCTGTGCAACCTGGGAAAGCTGCATAACTCTTTCAGACTTAAAGTCTTCATCTGTAAAATGTACCCCATTCCTCTCTGTTGGTGACTAAAGTATATCGTGCATATGCAAATTTAGTATTGTTCATAGCGATCTAATAAATGTCAACTGCTATTATCAATGTGTTATGGAAGGTGATGTTGGCTTTTAGTTCAGGGAAAGGTTACTCTAGTGTGAGGATCTGTGAAGACTTCATGTCTAACACAGCCCTTGAATGTGTCCTAAAGAAGAGTCAGAATACTGACTGAACTGATTGGGACTTTCAAAGAGAACAGAATAAATACAAGCTCTGTGGTAAGCCAATGCAGGTATCTTATAGAGTGTGGTGAGCTATTCGGACTGGCTGTAAAGGTTTTATAAATGAGACTCTGTTTGGGTAGGGATTTGGGGGGAGTGGGGTTTAGACAGCAGTTGAATACCTTCATTCAGACATGATCCTTTTACCATGCAAAACTAGATGCAGATGGACTAGTAAGACATCATTGCCATCTTCCTGGAGGATGAATGAAATTAAAAATACAAGAGATTTTGCAAAGCTAGGCTTCAGATCTATTGGACTTATTAATGAGATAAGTGGGGAGTGGCCTGGGAAATGAACTTAGACTAAGATGATGATTTTCAGACAGGAACTCATATTTTTCTTGCCCTCTGGAAAATAAGAAAACACACCTCTCTTTCAGCAAAAATTTGGTGGAAATTAAGTTAGGGAGCAGGCTAGAGAAGCAGAGGAGATGGTCAGAGGGCAGAAATATTCTGAATGAGAGAAGAGAAGCCATTTCACAATAGTTGGACAGCATTCCACTGTTCTGGGGTGATTTGGAAAAAAAATCAGTCTTATTCATAACAGTCCCTAAATATACTCTGACCAGTGTTGGATAATGATGTCCTAGGAATTCTATGTAATACATAAAAGTCTACTTCCAAATGCAGTAGTCTGAGGTTTTAAGTCACTTGGAGTTTGAAAAGGTTTCAAAATATGTGTTAATGAGATCCATCTCAATATATCTTGACATAAGTGATCTGGGATGGGGGTAATAGAAGTAATCTAGAAAATCTCCCTAGGTGATTCAGGTTCCTGATATTAATCAAAGTTGATCATTGTGCTATAACACTGTCGGCTCTTCTACAGGTATATATTCATAGCTCCTCTGATGTGAACGTACCCTTATATACCCAATTCATGGTCTTTGAAGGAGATTATGAGACCAATTTTGCTGAATTTTAAGAGTAGTCTTTTAACTTTTCATATAAGAATCCATATGACAAATTTCTTAGTATTTTATGCCTCCATTTTCTCCACTGCCAAATGGAATATTGAGCCTCTATTTGACAAGGCTTTCTTATGAAGTTTACTATAAGGTCAGCAGAACAAAGACTACAGTACATTAAAAACACAACAAAATCAGCTATTATTATTTGGAATTTATAGAAAGCATCATCTTAAGGTGCCCTATCTTTGCCCAGTTAATTTTGGTGGAAGCTAAAGCCAGATGAGTCCAGCATCTTGTATCTCATGATATACATGGCTAAAGAAATGCAAAGTTCTGTCCCCTGGCAATATGTCTGATTGAAGAGGCTAGAAAGAGGGATGTAGATCTTTGAGACTTGAAAGGATGAAATGCTGGGGAGTAAACAGAGCATCACAGAGGCCTATGCAAAGTAACAGGAAGTGCTTCCTAGTAAGAATCAAATAATTTTGGAAACCCAAACAAGCAGGAAGAATCAAGAATTTTAAAAAATCAAGGATACAGCCATAGGCAGGGATCAGAGGCTGTGGGGCACAGGCTCTGCAAGTTGTAAAGGAGACAATCAGCAAGGGTTAGGTTAGGATTCCAGTTTGAAGTAAGTCGTCAAAAGATCAAGAAAAGGTGAGTGTTAAGTAGGAGGAATGCAGCTCTGAAATTAAGAAGGGTATTTGTTTCTGTGTTTATCACCATTTGTTGCATAAGGAAACTTCTCTGGTGAGAGTTGAGGCATGCATTAATCTATAGGTATAACAACAAGTCATGAAGCATCAGTTTAATATGATAACTATTTAGTAGAAAACTAGTAGTAGGGTCTCCCCTATATTCTGTGACCTGTTAACCCCAGGTTCCTAAGCCTGATTTCAACTTTAGGAATGGACTCCAACTTGCTGAGAACATGAGCTAGTGGAGTGTTATTACTAAGTATCACATCTATGTCAAACTTTTGCCCCACTAAGGCTCAGAGATCATTGCAGAAGGGAGGGCAGAGAGATTGTAAGAGCCAAAGGAGGTGGATGCCCACAAGGAAACAGAGATTTTAGAGAGTTCACCAGTTCCTCAGATGAACTCACAGAAATGGCAACAGTATGCACAAGTCCCATGCAAGTTCAATCCAGAAAAAATTGCAGCATAGACATGAGGAAGTAGGTAAGAAGCTCCAATACATCTAAAGAAACAAACTGTCAACAGATGACAGCTGGGAGAGGTAGAGACAGTCTCTTTCAAACATGAGATTCTTGGCCAGTTAATCAGGTTACAATGGATGGTCACACACTGAAAGACATTTGGAGGCACATATTAGACTTTATAGGCCACGTATTACATTTAATTGGGTGAGGGGTAAAAAGGGGAGGTGGTAGGGAATGGGATCTAAGTACCACCAAATTATATTGTATGAAAATCACAAAAATTCAGTAAAAAAAGAAAAAAGATGGGTATTTGCTTAAAGTTCTGTTATGGTATTATATACTGAATTATCTAAACTCATGTTTGCTTTGCCCAGCAGAGAATCTTACTTCAGGGGGCAAAGAGACTGTATCGGTAACAGAGTAACAACTCTGGAACTTGTGCTTTCCTTCACAACAAGCCATTTATTACAAAATTCACAGGGTTTTTATACATTACAAGGAACTGGCAGTCGCATGGGGTATGGCAGTCACATACAAAGATTTAGGACACAAAGAAACAAGACATATAGCCTTTTAGTTGGCACCAATAAGATGGTAAAACCTTTACTCAAGGTTAGCAATGACTATCCAGTAATTTGTTGGCCACAAAGTTTTCTTTCTTAGGGCTAAAAGCATGGTAAACTTTTAGCTTTTAGCTCAGGAGTAAACTTTAACCTGGCCTAATCTATTAGCTAACTATAGCTGAGTTTTTTTCAGGACAGGGAGATGAGCTAAGGGCTGTTGACCGAGGTGCTTTCCCACAGAGCAAGGAGCCTAAACTTTTGACCTGGCTGCTTTTCTATTGCTAGACCTGCAGTGTTCTGCAAGATAGGGATATTAGAGATACTATTTTCAGTGCCACTCCCTTTAGTAGAGAACATAGTCTGGACTTAAAAAGTTTTAGGCTGTACCATCATTCCTTACCATGTATCAAATTAGCATATCTTTGTATTGTGTTAGAAGGTTTAATTTTTAAAATTACTGCTTGGTATTCTGAATGGAATTTCATTTGGTTAACTTTTGAGCTTGAATTAAATAAGAATTACCAACAATTCTGCAGTGGCCCTCAACATACTTCTGTCATTTTTCTGTATATTTATCATATTTATGGAAATGGAATTCTCAGTATAGACAACTATAAAATAAAAATATCAAGCAACTCTGAGGAAAAAAAAAAAAGGGTTTTAGCCTCAAATCACCCTAGGGCATGCCATCCTGGTTTCCTACATTGAATATTTATGGTTCTCTACTAAATTGTATATGCTTATTCTAATATTACAGTTTTTTCTGGAGTGTGAAGAGGTGGTCAAATTTTGATTTTGGAAGACATTTTCATTGTTTATATATATATATATGGAGAGAGAGATGCCATATATATATATCATATAACCATATGTATGTATCAAGATAATTACCATTTTTCCTTGTTTCTTGGTTTATTTTATTTTCTATATGTATGAGTACTTTGCCTGTATGTGAGTGAATCACATGTTGATGTGTGTGTGCAATGGCCATGGAGGTCAGAAAACAGCATAGGATTCCCTGGAACTGGAGTTGCAGATACTTGTTAGCTGCCATATGGGTGCGGAGAGCTGATCCTGGGTCCTCTGCACAGGCATTCAGTCCTCTTAACTGCTCAGCCATCTCTGCAGCTCCCATAACCTTTTTTCTTAGAGAACACATTTCACTCATTGCAAGGAATCAGGCCTTGCAAATCCTTGGCAGTGTTGGAGGACAAAATGGAACCATACTTCCGTTTGACTATGGTTATTTCCAGCAAACACAATTTTACATTCCACACTTACTAATTGTGACAGTAGATGAACTGATTTTGCATATGCATTTGTGTACATGCATATGTAAAGGTCAGAGGACAATCTTGGGTGTCCTTCCTTAGGAACTCGTCTCTTTTTCTTTTCTGAGACATTTTCTCTCATTGGCCTGGTGCTCACCACATAGACTAGACTAATTGACCAGGGAGCCCTGGGGATCTGCTGTCTCCACATCTCCAGTGTTAGGATTCCAAGTGTGTTCCACCAGTCCTTGCTTGTTTTTTAAAAATATTTTTTCTTTTTCTATTTTTTACTTTAAAAAAAACTTGAGAATTTTATACATGCATATAAGGTGTTTTAATCAAATCCACACCCACTCCCTCCCCTCAAACATCTCCCATATCTCCCCATCACTTTTTTCTGACAACTTGTTTTCTTTTATTCTTTCTTTTTCTTTTTCTTTCTTTATCTCTTTCTTTCTTTTTTTGTGGGGGGGTTGCTACTGTAACATTCCATCCTCTGAAGAGGTAACTCCAAAATCTTTTAGGGATAAGAGGTCCCAGATACTTTTGACATTTTTGGACTTTGGAACAGTATGTTGCTTAGAGGCTCAAGGACATTTTGACTTTTAGCCAAGAAACTGGCTACTTTTCTTTGGGGTCTTTTTACACTAACTGCCTAGCCAATTCCTACCTCCTGTTCCTATCATGCCATCCTCTGAAAAGGTTACCCAAATTGCCCATAGGAAATTGGGACAGAGACCACTCCGGCTTCTTCCATGCTGAACAGGGATGTAGGGTGAGGCATTTGGAGTACCCCTTCAGTGGATCTCTCTAAAAGATTCCCAAATTGCATAACTCTTATCTGTAAGGAGAAAAGAAAGTCCTTGACTGATGAATAGGGTATTTGAAGGAGAAGTAAAGGCAAGAATTAGCATTTCAAGTTCTAGACAGGGAACCAGAGAAAGTCAGAACAGGGCAGATTTCAAATGTTCTTATCAAAGTCCATTGGGATTTCTTTTTTTTTTTTTTTTCAAAAGTCACGCTTAAATTTGGATGAAGGCCTTTCT